TGCCAGTTGTGAGCTGCAGGGTGATATGGCTGCTGGCATTTGTCCCTTTTTATTTTTTCTGTTTCATTTGGTTGTATTTGTTCACTAAGTACAGCATATTATTATTATTATTATTATTACGGTTACTATTATTAAGAACCTATATCAAACCGTTTTTAACATTCCAATCTATAATTGTCTAGACTCAGCCCAACAAGGTTTCGATAATACCGCAGGGTGTGCTCTCACCAGGATGTTGCACAAAGGAGCTGCGCTGCTCGGTTTCTGGTGGTTTGATTTCCGTCTGAGAAACAGTCATGAGAGACTGATAATATGTATCAAACACTCCACATACAAATGGTATATAATGGGAAGTATCGTCACTTGTTGGAGAGCATAAAGTCAACAAGGCTGCGTAAATGAAGCGTTTTAAAGAGCTTTTCGAAAAGCCCATTACTTTATCATGAACACGTCCAAGCTCTGTCGTCTGCACGAATTCATCAGGATTATGCTTATTCATTATTCAGTTGTTATACCATATTCTCTCATAAGTCGTCATGGCTACTGTAATACATTTGCTTTATATTAACATTTATCATAAATCAATGCTCACTATACTTATCGGTTCCCAAGTCTGTCACTCTGTGCTATCGCCTAAATCGTAAACATGACACATGTCCGGATTGCTAAGGTTATGCATGAAGAGTTCTTATTTATTCATATTTGGTTCTCCTTCGTTTGCAAAATTATTTAAAAATACACTTTTCCTACGAATGTGAAGTTCTTTTGCTTCCTTATTGGGTGTAAAAAATAAACTACATCTCCCAGCTTGCCCATCACCAAACCATGATTTTTTTTCGTATCGGGCGTCCGCTGTGATTGGTGCATGTCGGGAATTGCAGTTTTTCCAGGGATCTCACCTCCCCTCGATTTTACACACCAGAGAGCCGAACAAGAACACCAACTCCCAGCAGGCATCGCGAGGGGCAGTTCCTTGCACATGATTTCCTGCCTCTCTGAAGCTGCAGGAGGAGAAAAGTGTCCAAATGTGTCAGTTGTTGGTTGCGTTCTGGTTTTCTTCTTGTTGATTAAACGGGAACAGAAGTTAGAGGAACACGATGCGTGACACTCTGTAACAGTGGCGGGGATAGAAAGTCATCGACCGGACAATAAACTCGAGAGAGGACGCCGCGGGTCCTGGATGTAAAATTCGCGTATTGCAGTCTTCTGTAGCGAAAGACACTCGGTCTCCAGGCGAGGAAAGACACGCCGCACACACAAGGGTACAATGGAGGAAGTTGATAAAATTTTAATTCATTCCCTGAGACAAGTGGGAACGTAAGTAACGCTTACGCGCTCGGCGACCCGTGTGGCTTGCGAGATAGTCAGGGGGTTACTTGCGTGGGGAGACCGCGGGGGGAACAGGGCGATTGAACTCGTAACGGGCAGCCCGAGAAGCTCCCGTTGCAAGTGTAAGTATAGATGTACGTTTGGGTCTTTATTCTTCACGAATGCAAAGAGAAAACCCAGAATAAGTCGGCATCCCAGTCCAGTGTTTCGCGATGCAGTTTTTAATGTTGGCGGCGCCGGACAAAGTCGCCCGTTTGCATGTTTGTTTATTTGTAATGCCTCTGCGGGTCGGGGTCCTGACTTGATTTAATTTAATCTCAGTTTAATTGGTGTGACGGGAGGGCGGCCGCGAGCGGTCCCCTGAGCCCGGGTCGCGCGGGGGGACCCCCCCCCGGCGTCGCGCGGACGCGGTGAGCCCCCATTCTGCGTGCAGCCGCGCTCGGCAGCGTTACTGGGCGCGTGTCCCCAGTTTCACAGCGAAGCTAATGGCAGGATGCCGTGGCGAGACGCTTGTCCCCTTGGCTTAGTTGGACGTACGCGTCAATGCTGCCCCTGTGGAAGTCTGTCCAATGCCCCCCCTCGCCCTGTACACTGCGTGGCGCCCGGCCGGCGCCCCGGGCTCAGCGGAGGGGGGTGTGTCTCGGCGACAAGGTGCAGATTCCTGCAGACATTCAGGGCTGTCCCGTGGTCTGGACACGCGGGCTCCGCCCCACCCGCGCCGAATGAGCCAGCCGCTTCCCCTGGTCGGCGCGCGTGCTGCGCTGCGTGTAGATGCGCGTGTCTCCGGTTTGCACACTTGTGTCCGTGTCAGGAAAGTACACGCGGGGGGGATGTTCCTCAAATATCATAACGTCTGTGTGTTTGGCTTCCGGGTTGCGCTGTCGCCCTGGTTGTACAGTTGCTTCACAGCTCCTGGGCTCGAATGTGGCTCTGTCTGGGGGGAGTCTGTCTGGTTTCCTCCCACAGCCCAAGGGCACTGTATTTCTCTGTAGGTCAATTGGCATCTCTGAATCGGTGTCCCAGTCACGGAGTGCTCCCGCCTTGAGCCGGGTTTGTGGAGGGTAACTCAAATTTGTAGTCTTCTGTGTTTTTAGGAAGCAGGTTTAGCTTTGTTTCGTAATCAAACGCTCCCTTTCTGCAGCGGGCATGTCTAGTAATGCTCTTAGCAGTTCTTTAATAGTAACGTCGGGCCATGATGAATGTGTGTTTCTGAGGAAATGCTGTGCTTCTGCTTGAAAACAAAATCCAGCCCGTGATCAGTGGGTTTGTGCTCCTGGTTGAGAATCTCTAACGCTGCTCCTGGTGAGCCCCAGTGTTACGGTAACTGTTCAATCCCAGTTTTCAGAGGTTTGGAACATCTTCCCTGTGCTTGGTTCCTTGTTATGCTCGGTAGAAGCCGCCGAAGACAGTTGTTCCTTTGCTCTGGGCTCATTGCTTGTGCTGCTGACCAGGAGCTTGAACTTGAACTTTATTGCCATATGTAACCGGTACTGGTACCATGGAATTCTTACTTACAGAAAGTCTCTCGATTGTAAAACAAGTGTAAAAAACAAGACAAAGTGCAAACAGTGCATCAAGACAATGTACAAACAAACAATGAGAGGACTGCCCCCTGGCTGTCCATGCTGGCAGGGGCTGTGTCCCGCGCCTGACCCGTGTCTTGTGTGTCTTGTGTGTCTTGTGTGTCTTGTGTGTCTTGTGTGTCTTGTGTCTTGTGTCTTGTGTCTTGTGTCTTGTGTCTTGTGTCTTGTGTCTTGTGTCTCTGTGTGTCTGTCTGTGCTGCAGGGAGGTCGGCGAGGATGTGCTGAGCGTGAAGCAGTTCTCCAGCGAGCTGATCGTGGAGGCGGTGGTGCGCTGTCTGCGGGTCATCGAGCCCTCCCTGGGCAGCGGGCTCAGCCACGTCCTGCCCCCTGGGATGTCCGCCCGCTTCCGGCTGGGCATGAGCCTGGCCCAGGCCTGCCAGGTGAGCGACCGGGCTGACCGCTGCCGAGTCCTTCTCATCCACCGCACCCCACTCTCGCCTC